GTCACAATGGAAGGGACCGTGACGTAGATTACTGATTTGACGCGCCGTGATCGTGGCTAATTTTCAAAACCAGTATTTTGATCGAATATATTGCTTCTTATAACACTAAGACTAAGACTATTTCACTAAATTTCACGAGGTTTGCATATAAATATAGAAGTGTGTTGAGTAATCTACGTCACAATGGGAAGGACCGCTGACCGAAGATAAGTTGCCCGTGATTAAGAAAATTAATGGCGGAACGGTTTTCAAATCGTAATTTCTCGCCCTAGAATTGACTTTCAACTAAAAGGATTATTTAAAAGGCTTTATTAATCACTAAATATTCATATTATAATGAAATAACTGAATTTTTCGGGTTTTGAAATTATAGGGCGGTTTCATCAGAGTGCTCCTTTAAGCCTTCCTATGTTACTATCAGCAGTTACTCTCGCTATAATGCAGAGTGCTTTCGTGAGGACCTGGCATTTGTACCATTCCACATGATTTCCATGATTGATGATCTCGACGATCAGGTGGACACATTTAGCTCGTTGTTTTTGGATGTTTTATACAATCATGCCCCGATAAACAGGATTAAGATAAAGGCCAGACCACATCCTTTTATTACAGATGAAATTCGCCAGCTTATGAACACCCGCGACATATGGCATAGAAGAGCGATTAGGTCAAACGACCGTCTTCACTGGAACGCATATAGATGCTTCAGACAGGAGGTGAAACGCGAGTTAAGATTTGCAGAAAAGGCTCATGTGCGAACTGAATTACTTAAGAGCAATGGAAACACCTATGCAATCTGGAAGATTATCAATAATTTTCTACCAAGGAAAAGTCAGAATCGCCCTTTAATAACTGAAAATCCAGCCGCCCTGGCTAATAGATTCAACGAATACTTTACGTCAGTGGGGAGTGTGACTGCCCAGAAAGTTCGTGACCTCGCAATTGAACGTAATTTTAATATCCATCCTGCTTCGTCAACTATGGAACCTTTACCTGATCAGCGCTCAGAAGCTTTTCGGTTTCATTCGGTGTTAGACAAGGATGTTGAGCGTGTCATTAAAGGATTTTCTTCAAACAAAGCACCTGGCTACGACAGAGTACCCGCGCGTGTACTCAAGGATTTTCTACATGTAATTCTTCCGTCAACCGCTAGTATTATGGACTACTTCTTTCACACTGGAACGTTTGCAGGGGCATGGAAAATCTCCGAGGTTACTCCTATTTTAAAGTCAGGGGATTCTGAAGATCCGTGCAATAATCGACCTATTTAGCTACTCCCTATCCTTTCAAAGGTATGTGAACGATCGGCGCATGGACAATTTGTTAGTTATCTAACAGAAAATAAGTTATTGGCCAAAACGCAAAGTGGTAACCGAAAGTTTCACTCAACTGAGACTGCCCTTCTACGTGTCACTGACGACCTCTTGCAGGCAATCGATAATAAAAAGATCTCAGCTCTAGTTTTACTCGATATGTCAAAGGCCTTTGACAGCATTAGACATGATATTCTACTGCAGAAACTACTGGCTCTTGGTGTTACATCCTCAAGTCATGACTGGTTCGATAGCTACCTTGTTGGCCGCAGTCAAAAAGTACGCATCCATGATGCTACCACTGATGCACTTACCCTGAAGTATGGAGTTCCTCAGGGATCAATATTGGGCTCAGTCCTGTTTACTATTTATGTAAATGACCTGTTGTCTGTCCCTACTCACTGCAAATCGGCCTGTTATGTTCATGATGCTAAACTATACCTGTCCTTTCCCTCATCGGACATGTCCACCGCAATTCATAATCTAAATGCGGACCTGGGACAAGTCTCCAGACGGTGTTGCCAAAACTATTTATTAATAAATCCGGATAAGACTAAAGTGTTAATTATCGGTTTGCCTCAACTTCTTAATAAGCAATAAGCTGCCCACAGCATCTATTCGGGTGCTCGGAAAAGAAATTACACCCTCTACTGTTGCTCAAGATCTTGACATTTATATTGAACAATCACTAACTTACAACGAACACATTACTAAAACAGCCTCTACCTGCTTACATAAAATCGTACATATCAATAGAATAAAACACTTGTTAGATAAGAAAACAATACTTCTTATGAATTCCTTCGTTTTTAGCAAGTTATATTATTGCTCAACTGTTTGGTCTAATACTAGTAAACATAACATCAACAAACTTCAGTTAGTACAGAATTTTGCCGCCCGTGTTCTTCACCTTAAAAGTTCGATCACATCTCACAAGCTGTTAAATCGCTAAACTAGCTGCCTGTTAATGACAGAATTGATTTGAACGACATAGTGATGATGTACAAATGTATTAATAAACTTGTACTCGACTACCTAATCGAGAAATTTACTATGCGTTCACAAATTCACACTAGAATTATTAGACAACCACTAACCTAGGCCGATATCAAGTGATACCCAAATTAATAATACCTTGTATAGATATTGAGTGAAGAAGTATAACCTATTCGGCAAAAAATTATAACATTTCCAGTTTAAATTTAAGTGATTTCAACTCATGTCTAAGAATATTTCGAGGTGGCATAGTTATCGCTGCACGACTCATTCTCACAGTTTAGCAATCGCACTTGTTCCTAACTCTATTGGGTGGCTTGACGCGCGGCACTATTCGACAGGTCGTAAACGAAAGAACATCATGAGTAAGCTGAGGAAATAAACTTCGGTTTAATCCGAAAAATGTTGCTACTGACACCAGTAATTATATTTTTCATTAAGGCATTTTCAGGCAAATGATACTAACTTAGTGTAGGAAACGATTATTAAGCCCTAGACGTGCTATAAGACCTAATAAAGCACAATAGAGGATACCCCGTGTAGATTTTTTTTCTAATGTTCTAAAAATACTCGGAGAATGTTTAAATCAGTTTGATCGTACTATGACAAGGAACCGTAAAAAGCTAAATGTATTGATGATTTCAGAGCAATCTGCAACGCTGGTGATGAAGGCCAAATGAATCAGACCAAACTTAACCCGATGTAACGTGGGAAAAGATTACAGCAAGCTTAAAAGAAAAATTAGGTTACACTGAGCCCAAGCTTATCCTCTTAATAAGTGAACAAAGTGGTGCGTCTGCACTCATACATTTGCTCAGCACTCACCGTTACAAAGATAAAAAAAATCCGAAATGAAAGGTACAAGTTTATCATGGCGTAATAAATGTAAAGGAGGAAACTGCTAACATAATGTTCTCCGAGCTTTTCGTGGAGTAAAAACACTTGGTCAAAATTCCATCTCATTTTCGTTTAATGGCGCGTATCTTATAAGGAGCAGGAAATTGTGTAAAGCCGTACAAGCCTTTCAACTTAGGCGGACACCCATCTTTTTCAGCCACGAACGTAAATTTCTGCAATAAGCATGACATGAATAAAAACAACTCGACCTTAGCCAGGGGTTCGCCAGCACAGAACCGTCGTCCCGGTCCGAATGGGAAGTAATTACCTTGGTTAGTGATCAGCTTTCCTTCATCGTCAAGGTGACGGTAAGGGTTGAACTCAGTTGGGTTTTCCCAGCATTTGGGATCCAGGTGAACCGACTCTGTGTTAGGAAGCACTATCGTACCTTTAGGGACACGGTAGCCGCAGAGAGTCGTATCATTCAGGGTAGAATGTGGCACTGCAAGCGGAACTACGTTTCCAAGGCGAAGCGTTTCTATGATGGTAGCGTGTATCAGGGGCAGACTGGGTCGATCATTCAATGACGGTGTTCGGTCACCAACTACCTCATCTAATTGTCGTTGAATATCCTCTTGGTACTTTGGGTAGTTAACCAACATGGCCAATGCCCACCTCATTGTGGTACCTGTAGTTTCATAACCGGCGATGAACATGTCTTCCACGGTATTAACGAAGTAATCCTCGGATAGGAATGCGGCCTTTTCCGGATCATTTTCTCGTTCGGCCTCTTTTTTGGCGAGAATGAGACCCGAGATCAAGTCTTGAATGGGTTGCTCAGTATCAAAATTTTTCTCTCGCTCTCGCAAGAATATGCGAATGATATCGAACATTTTGTAGAAAGGCTTAATGAATCGATCGTAAGCCTTAATAGGTAGGTACTGTGTTACTGGGACAAAGTCCAGTATCCTCACGAGCTGTACATTATCGTGGTCTGAAACAAAATCAACGTTAAGTTTCAGGAGCCTGTCCAAATTTGGGTTGGTGGTGTCGTATCCTTCTCCGACAGTGATGCCACAGATAACGTCAGCAACGGTTCTGTTTAAGCTTGCAGAGGGATCAAAAGGCTTTCCTTTTAACGTTTCCATATATTTTGTAAGTTTCTTTGCCTGTACTAACACTCGGCTTTCGATCAAAGGAATATCCGATAAGTATTGACGTAAGGCTGTCGTAAAGAGTTTGCGATGAAGCTTCCAACCTGGGCCATAATGAGAAAAGACGACATCTCTCCCTCCTGTACAAAAAAGAAAAAGGAAAGAATTGTTTCATACGTAAAGGTTATCTGGTCCTAAACTGTTTTCTCCCGAAAAGGTGATCATCTCATGTTTACCAGAGTAAGAAGGGTAATAAATATTTAGAACAAATGTGCAAAGGAAGAATGAATAGCATGCCAGCGGTGTTGTGCCCCTTAGCCTTAAAGAGTGAAAGCTTCACTCAAACGACCCGTAGAGATGAAAGCAATAGCATCTTTTTTGTGTTATTCAAAACACGATCAGGTTCCCAGGGTTAAAAGCTTGACATAGAGTTTAAGGGGTCGAAGAAAGAAAATTTCAGTGTTGTGTTATACGATACTTAAACTGGATTGAATCTAGATTAAAATAATTTGAAAGACCGCTTACCGAGGGTTATTGAAGATAGAGCATAAGTCTGCTGTCTTCCTGCATAATCAGCGGATTTCTTAACAAGCAGTTCATGAACGGCGTCCGGAGATGCTGCCATTACAACCTTGTAGCTTCCAAGTTTTAGGGAGAAAACTCGTCCGTACTTATCCTTCAACCTAAAAAAAAGCAGAGGAGTAGTGTGGAAACGTTAATATGGTTTGATGGCAAATGAAAATTAATGATGTGAGGTTAAATTCACTTAACTATCGAATGATAGTCTTCAATAAAATCTTCAAAAAAATTATGTACAACCGATTCAAATCATACATAGAATATAATGAACTATTATTTGAAGCCCAGTATGGCTTCAGAGAGAAATTTTCCACTCAGCATGCAATTTTGGACATGGTGAATACAGTACA